TTTTTTTTTTCAAAGGTCAACGTAGTCTACGTGTATAAGGCCTTGATTGCGATCTCTTTACCGTATTCCTACAACGACAAGCCAACTGTATCAATCATCAATCATTCAACAGGAATGCCAGTCAGTGTTCCCGATCTATACATTGTATATTGCGATATAATGAAGACGCCGCGCAGTTAGACACATAACTTCGATCCCCATTTACGTATAGGCTAGCTAAATTTATAGACATTTGGATTTCAGATAGTATCCCATGTACGAATTAGGCGGAAGTACTGAAGCGATAGGAATAGATACGAAGGACAGCAAGTTAGAACACGTATTTAAGTATATGTAATGATAATTGTGATTCTAAGCTAAGTTATGGCCATTCGATTGCGCTGTCGGTTCGAAGATGTCGTCCAACCTGCCGACTTCCTGATTATATTCCGAATTGCTGACGCCAGCTTGCAGTCACTTCACAATCCTGTGATAATAAGGGTACAGAACATTATTATCAATTGACTGGAATCAATGTGTATTGCACGGAGCTCAAACTAATTAAATAGCAGGCATGCTACCGCTGAACTACTTGGGAGGCTCCAAGGCATTAAGAACTCTCTCACCGTTCTGGAAGGACAAAAAATGTTGATGCACCTCGAATGATTACTACCCATGCTGGTACAAATGTTTATGAATCTAGGAATCTACCGAACCGACTAATATAGTCTCTTCGATAGGTTTGAGGAGCGATCAGCTCTCCATCTTCGTCCTGTTGCTGTCAACACGATGCGGTGCGCACATGATGCGTGTTCGTTCATTTTTCAAGTCGCTGCCTTGAGCACAAGCGCCAGACATCGAGACCACGACCGATTCCACAAGTTTCTTCGAATCTCCGGTGTACATCTGCCAAAATGCCGAGTCTGGACAAGTCCGACTTGGTGCCCAGCGACGAGATCTCGTACCAACGGGTAGAGACACCTCGCGCCACTGCCGTCGACGTCAAGGCCAACAAAGATGGCACCAGCAGTGAATCTGACAGCTCCGAGCCCAAGCTGCTGGACGAGGTCATGAATGGAGGTCCCACCTCGTTCAAGTTCGCGAGTTTGTACCGGTACGCAACAACTTTTGACAAAATCCTGTTAGGAGTTGGAATCATCGCGACGGGAGCCAACGGCGCATTGTTCCCGCTTTTGGCCATCGTGTTTGGTGACGTTCTGTCGGGGTTTGCGTCTACACCTGTGGATATGGACAAGGTGAACAGTGCAGCGCTGGATTATCTGTACATCGCTATCTTCATGTTCATCACGGACTACATTTCGTACGTGGCGTTCTATTACAGTGCAGAGAGACAGATGAAAGTTTTGAGAAGTGAGGCCTTGAAGCACATGCTGTACATGGACATTAGTTGGTACGATGAGAACGACGCACTGCAGTTATCGAGTCGCTTGACGGGTGATACAGTGAGGATCAAGGATGGAATGGGGCAGAAACTCGGAGACTCGTTCCGGTTTGTCATTCAGTTTATCGTGGGTTTTATCATTGGATTCGCGCGTGGGTGGGATATCACCCTAGTAATGGCGGGTGTCATGCCTGTCATGACGGTCTCACTTAGCTGGTTGATTAAGACGATGCGAATCAAATCGGACTGGGCGCAGAAGGTCTACGCTGAGGCTGGATCGGTCGCGGAGGAGACACTGGGGTCGATTCGGACAGTAGCGTCGTTGAATGGCGAGCACAAAGCCATCGCCAAGTTTGAGAACAAAGTGCTTGAAGCCGAGAAGGAGAATATCGCACTGCACAAGATGTCGTCCGCTGTATTTGCCTTGTTCTTGGCCAGTATTTGGGTCATGTACTCTATGGGTCTTTGGTACGGCGGATGGAAGGCTTCGAAAGGTGATACTACACCGGGAGATGTGTTTGCTGCCTTCTTTGCTGTCATGATGGGTACCGGTGCGCTCGCACAGATCTCACCCAATGTTACTGCTGTCTCCAAGGCTGCCGGTGCGGCCGAAGAGCTGTTTACCATCTTGGATACACCTAGCGCCATTGATGCTGAGAAGGAGGACGAGGGG